ATGCATAACACACTAATACTTACCCTTCTTGTTTCCCTCCCCTAATCGTAGCATCACCCACCTACCCTTTTCTTTTTCAATATTTGGATTCTCTTTCTCTCCTCTTCTTCTCTTAATTTGGAAAGTGGAAATAAATAGGCCAAACACAATAAATTATACTCTTGTGATAAATTTTTGCCTTGCTCCCTACGTAGATGAGATATAGAATTCTTTAATTAAAAAGTAGTACTAATTTTTTGAATTACTATAAAGCTATAACTTTTTTTCCATAAATTGTATATCACCGGTTTGTATAACGGTTAGCCGATAAACCTTGAACCTCTTGCTACATCGGATCAATGTTTGGTTCGGTTTTAACAACATTGCTATTGATTGTAAATGTTGCTGTATTTACTATTTAGTGACTTATCTTCTCTTGGTTTTCTCTGGCAGGAAACAAGTATAAGAAATGCAAACAACAGGGCACAATAATCAATGTCATGTCATCTTGCAAGCATGCCACTTATGTCGAGAATTCGAGATGATATATGAAAAGGTAATCTCATATTTAGTTCTTTTCCGTATGAGAGTGTTACAACCATCAAAGCTGTATAGTATATATACTGCTTCTTTTCATTCACATTTAAGATCTCATCAAGTCATTGAAAATGCTGAAACTTTGAGGAGATGGTAAACTTTACATTTGAGAAGAACTCAGACGCATTTTGGAAGCATATGCCACTTTACTTGGTATTTTCTTTCCATTGCAGTTGCTAGATATGCTTGTATGGTTTTTTTGTTGGTGTCGCGGATTGAGCTATGCGAATAAAAATCATAATGACTTTGACGACGTTGCGGGGCTAGTAGATTATAGGGTGCTTTTACCTCTCATAAGTCATAATGACTTTGACATTGTCGTTTAAATGCTATTATGATAATATGATATGTGCTTGAATTGCTTCCTTTCCAAGTTAGAGTTGTTCGTTGAAGAAGCTACATCAACTCGTTTGCACAATCTGAAATTGTGGCAAAGTGTTGTGACGAGTTTGGGTAGCCAACTTTGCGAGCTCGTACCTTCCAACTGGGTTGATGGAAATGAGAGGTTAAAGTGTTCATTTAACGATAAGAACTTCCTCTACAAGGTGGCAAGGGATTCGGGTTCTTACAAGGTCATTAGGGCTGTGTTTCAAGGCTTCCAAGTAGCTATCTCAAAACTGGCAAACTGCCAGGAATTGGCCAAGTCTG